TTCTGCCAAATTGTCAGAGCTCGGGCAACTTGGAGTTTTCAGTTGTTAACTCTTTACTCACCCATTGGACAGCTAGCTCTACTGCTCCTTCTGATGCTTTGCTCCTATTCAGGGGATGAAAAAATATGTTGTAACCCTTTTGGACAGGATGCACTTGATGAGCATGTGGTAAGAGGAAAGTAACATTATTATATAGCCCATTAATCCAGTCAAACACCTTTCCATTCTCCTGCAGACTTCTCCAGGGCCAAGTCACCATTAAAAAAGGTGAGTTGTCCTAATCCTTCAACACTGAGATTACATCTTTGTGTAAATGTTGGCCTACTCCATCAAAAGTTGCTTTCATAGTTTTCACATATTATAAAATTATAGCTCACACTCCATGTAAGTAAGCCTAAAGTCCTCCTAAATATTAATACTAGTAACATTCTTAGATTTAGAAAAGCGCTTGAGTCAAATATGTAGTTAAAATACTGATTCCCATTAGGAGATTTGTCAGGATTTAACGATGATCTCAAAAGTGCTTTTTTTTTTTAAATTCCATTTATATCTCACCATAGAGGATGACATTTATGCATTTAGCCTAAATACTTGCTAAATCAAGGATTTATGATACAAGCCTCTTTGGAGATTATGTATCTGAACTACAAAACAGAGATGACAATGGTTGCAACTCACATATGCTACTATTTTCTAATTATTTTTCTAGAAAACCATCAGTATTTCTGGTGATATTATTTTCTCCAATTCCTATCACATTTCACCATCTGATTTATTACCTCTGTAAAATTTCTAAGATGAAAGGCCAAATCCAGCTATACTTTATACAAAGCCTGTGTGGCACCCTAGGATTAATTACCTAGCTCAGAGTCCAATTTATTAAGTAATTAACAAAAAATTGACAATAGCTAATGAGTTTACTCTTTTGAAATGAAAGGTCATAATTCCTATCTCTGTTCCTCGGGCATTAGTTTTAGAAATTCATTATTTGAAAGTTCCTAAAGAAGTACATTTCAATCTTCCAATCTTTTTTACATCATTTATCCTTCAAATATTTTCTTAGTTCAACCATTGAATATATTAATGAAGGAAAAAAAAAAAGAAAAAGAATGCAAATGGTTGATTTGAAAGTTTTCAAATTCATCTTTTTTTCTCATCCTGGAGTTATCAAATGAGTAATGCTGGACTCAGGAAACGCACCACTAAGTGTTGTGAAACCATTGAAAATGTTGCTGGGAACTGTGAATCAAAGCTATGAAGGATGAGTCTTATGCAGAAATTCAACACCAGAATCATGCATCCTCCAGAACATAATTGATATCATGTAATAAATTACTGTCATAATTCATAAAGTTGTTAATGATTGTGGGGAAGGAACTCTCCCCACCACTGTAAGTCCTGAGAGAGGGTGCCCTCCTTCCAGGGAGTGAGGTGATCTGTAAGCTGCAGAGCATCTGGGCTGGGCTGCCCTGGGACCAGTGGAACCAGTGCCAGAGCTGCAGAGAGCTCCATGGGCTGCACTGCAGCCCAGCCACCCAAAGCAGCCACTCTCCCTGCAAGCTCATACCAGAACATATCAGAGACTACAGCTTTTGGACCATGGCAATTTCTGCAACTAGGAAATCCTCTCCTATAGCTTCATTGGTTTTGCTTTACTTTATGAAGATTATGTACACAGGAAGAAGTGCAGAACCTGAGCAGCTGTAATTATAAGGGTTTCGATGAGTCCTTGCTTCAAGTCAATGGGGATATACTGTTTTACAGAAACTAAGGCTTTGGTCTAAAGGAATTAACTTGATTAACTAAACAAATAACTTAATGTGACACAATTAAATGAAGTCTTAAAGAGATCACACACCTTTCTAATGTAAAGCTTCCAATAACTCCTTTACTAGCTTTTCTTATTGGACATTCAAGGTTTATGTGGCCTATTTTAGGGCTTATTTAGGTTTGCCTCTGATGCGCACTGTAATTTGCACACTTTGCTTCTCCCTATATTTTCCCAGATGCTGACACTTTCAGTGGTCAAGTTCAACAACTGGATTATATATAATTTCCTCATGGTTCACTTGGTTGCATCTTTTCAGGGCTTTAAAAAAAACTCTCAATGGCTTTTCAGCTACTACACTGAATGATAAAGGCAAATTAAAGTATTTGACTAAATTTTTAGCTGGTGGCATGCTGAGGCCCTCTGGATTTGCACAAGTTTTCTGGAAGAACCATCACACTAGTAGCTCTTTTCATACCAGGTATATTTCAAATTTGCGTGCCTAAAATTGTAGTAACTCATTTCTTTGTCTCCTTCTTCCCACTAGCTCACAAAAAATGACTGTGCAACATGGACCATGTACTTCAGACTCCTCACAAACCTACCATATTCACCATGATGGTCTATGACCTCTTACAGTCTCCTCCACTGGGGTGCATGTGTCTCAACTATCTGCCCTGGAAAAGGCTGACTAATGTAAGCATTACTGGAAGTATGGAAGAGAAAATGAAATCATGTGCTGTGAGTTTCCTCTCCTTCTTGAGACCTGGAAAGCATGTTTGCAGACATAACTCCCCTTCACAAGACACACGTTCACCAGGGTGTGAGCCCTTCAAGGGCAACATGGAGGCAGCACTAGGTAAGGACAGAGTTCTCCAAGAGTCTCTGCTACTTTTCTGCTCTAAGTCATTCTCTTAGAGGGCAAGGGAAGCTGTCAGGCTTTCTGATTTACAGCTATTCATTGCTTCAGTTTCACCCTCCCTGCTTCAGAGGTGTTCTTTGTCCCCAGAGCTCCAAGCTAACATCTATATTGCCTGCCACAGAACCCCTCCAAAGGAGAACAGCAGGGAGGAGATTCACTTACGTCCCTTGGAGGATAGTTCCTCCTTCCTCCCCCTCCTCTCCACTATGACGCTTTTATTTTGAGACAGGTATAAATAATTACTGCTCTGTAGACACAAAACTCAAAGAACAAGCGCAGACCAGGCTTTTGCACCTTCCATGCCTCAGAGTAACAAAGCCACTCCATAGATTCACTGCATTCCTGGGAGTTTAAAATGGGTGGAAAAAGGGGGCTGTGTTGTATTGCACTGCCTCTTTAAATTATACATGCATGGACAAGCTTCAAGGTGCCTCCTGCCGAGAAAAAGCTTTAGATGCATGCACACAGACAGCAGCTCCTCAGCCCCTCTGACCTGCAAGGCAAAATTACTTGGGAGAGAAAAGATCTAAGCTAAGTCCTTCCTTCGGCTGATGCTTTTTTAGTGATCCATTTTTACGCTCCAACGACAGTTACATGTTTGTGGGGAAGAAACCTAGAGGACAACCCCGGAGTGCCAGAGACCTAGAAGAAAAGGAGAGCAACTGCAGGTACAGTTAGCTGATGGTGTTATGCCTGTTTGAAGGTAGGTGTTGCCTTTTTTATTTTAATGATCTGCTATTTTTCTGGGAATTCTGAAACAGATATTGTTCCTTACTTTGGGAAGAGTATGGTTCCAACATATAGATTTTGCACCCGAATATTTGTTCGGTTCCTTTCCTACATGACCATTCACATTTCCAAGCAGCTATGTAAGTGCCTTAAAAGACAGTGAATTGTTTGAACTGTTACTTAGTTTCAGGCTTGTCTTTCTGTTATTCTGTCATCCCGTAACTGTGTGTTTTGAAAAGCAGCATGGAAACAAAAGTTGTACAGGAGAGTTTCTCCAGGAAATTTATTATGTGTTGGTATGCCAGGACAGTTCCAGAGAAGGAAGGGGGAATGACAGTTGATTGTACTTTGTAGCTATGCTGGACATTGTTAATGGCATTTGACATTATGAAGACTTGTTTTAATGCAAAGAAGCAGTATTTCCCCCAAGATTTCTTTCTGAGATGGGTTGGGGCGGGCCTGGAGGCTGGGAGTCTGCAGGTCTAAGTACTGAGGGTATGAGAATTCCCAGTGGGGGGTAGCGGACTACAAGACAACAGTGCTGTCAGTGTTTTGATACAGAATAGAGGCAAAATTGGATGACTGGATTACATTTTTCTTTTCTGTGTGGGGGAAAAAAAAAAAAAAAAAGGTATTTAGCATGTTTGGTACAACTGGCAGGACAAAGAGGGAAGCTTGCTCCTCGCTCTCTGCTAAAAAATAAAACCATTTTGCCTTGCCTAGGGAATATTTCATCTTCCAGCTCAAGAACCTGCTTGTGGAATCAGCCTCACTGCAAGCAGTAGATTTGCTCTCACAAAAAAGCTCTACAAGCAATTTTGTGCAGCAAAATCATTTCCAAGCAAGCTGTCAGGACTCCACAGGTTTGAAAGAAGCATCATAGATTATACTGGCAGAAAATTTTGTCCCCAAAATTTGGCAAGCAGGGGTTGCCAAAAAGGAAAATGCTGGCTTTGCTATTTTGGGGTATTGGCAAATTTTACTTAAAAAACATATTTAGGAGCCAAAGGTCCAGAGATTCGGTTCTTGTTTATTCCTTTAAAAAAAACCCAACAACACCAAAAAACACCCTACAAAACCACAAAAACACAAAACCCCCCTCAAAACCAACCCCCTTCAAAACCAACCCCCCTTTTTTCTTCATTCTTTCTTTTGTCTGTGACATCATTCTGCCCAAGGCTTCTAGCAAGAAACCTTTGTCCAAAAGGCACATAAAATACTTCTCAGCAAACCAAGATGTCATTTTCTTTTAGTTTCTGTACTTTGCACAAGGATGACAACACATACGGCAGAGGTTTAACCTGGATTTTACCTTCCTTCCACTGTGTCATTTCACTCTGCATGAAATTTTAGCTCGGGTAAATAAAACTGCCACGTATATCTACCTGCGCATTACGCAAATAGAACTCTAGGTATTTCATGGTAAGTGAAGCATTCTCTTACAGCACTTCTTCCCACTGTTCACACTTGCGTATGTGGCAAAATTGTTGGGGGCAAGTGAAGGAATAATATAGAAATCGCTGCATTTTTGCTGTATTTTCCTTTCAGGATTTTTTTCCCCTTTTCTTTGTTTCTGTAGAAGAAAGTAAATGAGGCTGACACTCTACTATCTCATCTGAATAAAGACAAAGTGACTCACTGCTCAGAACAGAATCTTTTGATGAGTTTTTCTGTCTGCCACAATCCTGCTCTGCCATCCTGGGTAATACCAACACAAAAGCAAAGGCCAGCCAAGATATCCCTATCAAAAGCAGAAAGACTTCACAATGGGGCACGATGAACATAACCCAAATACAACTGTCAACCTCAACTTTGCTGCAATCTATGATCTCCACAAGGGAGATTACACCTCCTTCAGAAACTTCACCATCCCTTTCAATTACAATGATTATGATCTGCCACTGGACAATGAAGATGACATGACAAAAACACGCACCTTCTTTGCAGCCAAGATTGTGATTGGGGTGGCTCTCATTGGCATTATGCTGGTCTGTGGCATTGGCAACTTTATTTTCATCGCTGCTCTTGCCCGCTACAAGAAACTACGCAACCTCACCAATCTTCTGATTGCCAACCTGGCAATCTCTGACTTCATTGTGGCCATTGTGTGCTGCCCTTTTGAGATGGACTACTACGTGGTGCGACAGCTATCCTGGGAGCATGGCCATGTTCTCTGTGCCTCAGTCAATTACCTACGGACTGTCTCCATCTATGTTTCTACGAATGCTCTCTTGGCTATCGCTGCTGACAGGTAAGCAGAGGGCTATGACTGGAGCTGGCCAGAGCTCTTAAGATTAGCCATCCAGGTTTCTCAGCTGCTCTGCAGGATCTGCTAATATCATAGTAGGTACTCTGCTGATGAGGGTATCTTGTCACATAAGAATTTAATCATAAGAGGTCATGAGATTATTCTGAAGAAAACTTCGTGAAAATTTCTTGATTAGACTTTTTAGGTAAAATAAAATGTGGATTTAATGAAAGCTTTTTTTCTTTCCCCCCTGTCCTCCCAAGAAGCTCAAGGGTACAATCAGATTTATGAAATGGGAGAAAGAAGAGAAAGGAAGACAAACCAAGAATCATCATTAGTTCAGACACATGGCTGTTAATTAGCACTACATACTCCTATTATAAATGTCTTGAAGGAACCTTTACCACTGGGCTCCTGAGCTTTATTTTATTGGGTCTCACCTTCTGTATAAACAGTGAAATAAATATTCTTCAGAGAGAGAAACAGTTCACTGATGAAAGCAATCCTTGATGGTGAGTTTCCTAAGAGGGTTCCTGCCTTCCCGGATATTTCTTTCGCCATCTAAGGTATTCCCCCACCCCCCCAACACACTTTTTTTTTTCTTTTTTCTTCAGTGAAAGAGAATAAAAGATGAGATTTCAAAATAGCTGGCAAAATAAAATTCTTATTTGCTGTCCAGCACTCCCAAGAAAATTCACCCATCATTTAAATAATGGTTTAATAGTATCGAGGTCTTAGCTGCATGCTCCAGCTCAGAAGTGGATGCTCAACATTTGCACCCACAGTCTTCCAAACACTTGAAAGCTGTTAAAACACTTTCTCTTTTATGTGTCTTTCCGAGGACAGTACAGTGTCAAAAGTCATTTGTAAACCTCTGAATCCTCTGGAAAATGATAAAAATGATATACCACCCTAGTTTAACAGAGGTTTCCTTACAGCCTGCCTAAAAGGGTGAACAGAACATGCTGATATCCAGCTGCTACACTACTTGCATATTGTTGCAATCCTGAGATATTTCTTTGTATGTCTCTCCAGGATTTTTAACATCATTTAATTATAGTTTCTTGTGAGTCCTGGTCTTAGTCTTATGTACTACGTACTCAGAGGAACCTAGAAGCTGAGAATCAACTTCATGTTGCCATGTTTGAGAAACAAATCACAGAAATCCAGAAACCCACGCAGTAAATTGCTTACAGAAAGACCATCATGATAACTCGTTCCTTTTTTTTAAAAAAAATGAGCACCTCTATATCATCTGCTTGCAAAGACTATTTTTACAGTTTATTGTATTAGCATTTTATTTATTTATTTATTTATGGGTTATTAATTCTCTCCTATGCCTTTTTATGCTATACCCTATTGTTGCTTAGTTTTTGGAAACTGATCCACAGAAGTCTTAGAGATCATTTAGCACTGCTAATGGTTCTAGAGGTAGCAGTTGTAAAGGGTTGTTTCTGCTTTTATTAATGACAACATAAGTTTGTGGAAAATTCTGGGAAAGTTCAGCAATGTTTTACCTGGTAAGAGGGAAAGGACAGTCAGCTCCTAGAAAACAAATCCTTAAGCCATCCCTCCACACCAACAATCTTTGAACTCATCAGTTGAATCTGAAGAGTCAACTTCAACTTATCAACTCCAAAAAAATGTTGTGAAGAAAGCTCTTCTACTGCATACTTGCTAGGAAATCAGGAATTTTCTAGTATATCTCCCTATGGGCAACTATGTTTCAGATACCCTCTTGGAGCACATCTTTCCAGGTAGCTTCATCCTAATCCAGTTTATATCATACAGAATATGTTCCAAAAACACTCTTCAAAATACAGCCAAAGTGTAGCGAGCAAGGATAGTCAGGAAATCCACCACAGAAGGCTCCCTCCTGACTCTACTGTAGAGATTTACCCCAGACAATCTAATATTCTGCAACCCTGACAGGCATACTTATAAATGCATACACAAACACAGGAGGCAATTAAAAAAAAAAAAAAAAAAAAAAACCAACAACCACCACACTTTCATTTATCAGTTCCACAGTGAGACTTAATAATGCTACCGTCCTTTGACACCTAGCCTGCACTTCTCAGAGCAATGAACATTTTTTGTGATTGCAAGACTTGGCTTATGAAAAGCTCCACTGACTTTCCATTTTATTTTAGAGTGAGTATATTCTGTATATGCTATCTACATATAGCATATGTACAGATAGAAAAGTCTCTGAATGGATGAAATTTTTCATCATTTGAAACGATCCTTGATGTCAAACAAGACTACTGAAAACTCTGGAGTGTTTCTGATCAAAATCTTCTCTTAGCAGAAATGTCCTAATCTTTCTGGGGTAGACTATAGCTTCATAAACAAATGGGTAAACCACTCCAGACTGATTGTCACTTGGCCATTTTGATCCCTTTTTGAATGAATCAGGAACAACGTAGGATCTTACAAGCAATGTATTTCCATTTCTCTATACTTTTTCGCTGAAACACTGCAGTTGTGACTGACAGACATTGCAGTCACTAATTGCAAGTATAAACAGCTACTCCTAATTTGTACAAGATAGCATATTATTCTACATGGCATATATAAGATAAATTAGCAATAGCTACATCAATCAGATCAACAAATTCACATGAGCAAAAATGAGTATGAAGTGCTTTGTCGACTGCTTTATAAATATGCTCAACTCTAAGGATTTATTATCCTCCGCTTCAGCTCTTTTCAGCTCATGGAATAATAAAGAAGATAAAGGAAACACTTTTATGTCCATTCATCCTCTAGGTAAAAACATATTCAAATACTTCTCTGCCTAGGAAAAAATATATTCTCCTCCTTCTCCACATTTGTCATCTTCTACCTGCACCTAACTACGTGCATATTACTGTGTATTTTAAACTCTAACCTGAATATATGCTGTACACCTAAGAATTTCTAGGTGCTCTGTCACATCATTTTCTGGGTACCGCACCTTCTGCTTATGTGCTAGCTACTACCAACATATGTGCCAGTATTATAAATATTCTTTCTCCTCTTTCACTCAGTCTATCCCTAACTTGTGAACATGTAATCTATGTTAAAAAAGAATAACAAGTGAAGCAAAGTTACACTTTTGAATTTTGGTTTTCTTCTTTTAACCAGCTGGAGTTAAGGCAGTTCTTAGAACTATCCTCAGGCACTCTAAAATACATGAAGATTCTAAAATTGCTGAGAATACCATATCTTAAGAGATGTTTCAGTCACTCACTCTGCTTCAGCTTCCTCTGGATCTTCTGTCTAGATTTATGAACTCACTTGTGGGCTTCTTCTCTGGACTCTGTAAGACTCTCACTCAAACCTATTTGTTGGGTATCTGTTTAAAAATCACATATTCCTCCTGCTTAATCCTAATTCTGATCACTTGTATTCTGAAGTGTACTCCAATTCATACTGTTTACAGACTTAATTTTGAATGAATTTCTCTCTTCTGCAGGTACCTGGCAATTGTCCACCCACTCAAACCACGCATGAATTATCAAACAGCAACCTTCTTAATCGCCTTGGTCTGGATAGTCTCCATACTTGTAGCTATTCCATCTGCATACTTTGCTACTGAAACTGTATTATTTATAGTAAAGAAACAAGAGAAAATTTTCTGTGGCCAAATCTGGCCAGTTGATCAGCAGATGTATTACAAATCCTACTTCCTCTTCATCTTCGGCATTGAATTTGTTGCACCTGTGATTACAATGACCTTATGTTATGCCAGGATCTCTCGAGAGCTTTGGTTTAAAACTGTACCAGGATTTCAGACAGAACAGATCAGAAAAAGGCTTCGATGCAGAAGAAAAACTGTTATGGTACTTATGTGCATCCTAATTGCTTATGTTCTCTGTTGGGCACCTTTCTACGGCTTCACAATTGTCCGTGACTTTTTTCCAACTATTTTTGTGAAAGAGAAGCATTATCTGACAGCTTTTTACATAGTTGAATGCATTGCTATGAGTAACAGTATGATAAACACAATGTGTTTTATAACAGTAAAAAATAACACAATGAAGTATTTCAAGAAGATTATGTTTCTCAAGTGGAGATCAACATATAATGGAAATAAATGTAGCACAGATTTAGACCTCAGAACAAGTGCAATGCCAGTCACAGAAGAGGTAGACTGCATAAAACTGAAATAAGATCTATAAGATCTGTAAGATCTATGTGCAGAAAAATCTCGCTGTCAAGAACTGAATGTCCAAAAAGGAGACAGAGGAGTCCTAAAACTTTATTCAAATAAAGGGCGAGTCCACTGGGCATATCCCCGTGGGGTCTCTCAAATTGCTGGGGGACGCAGCCCCCCTTTTATCCTAATTTCCTGACTAAGGGATGCCCTCTCCTTTTTCCCATTGGCCAAGGTACTCAGAAGTTACAGTCTTCCTGGCCCGCCTATACCACACTCCCTACCTCCCTCCAGCTGTTCTCACCTGAGGTCACCAACTCCTTTGTCCCTCTTGCTGAAGAATGTGGGGGAATTCCCTTATTTGTAAAGGCCCCCAACTCTCAGCAACTGCTCTTTTGTCCCACTCACTCATGGCTCCGCTCAGTCTCCCACCTCCCTTTGTCCTGCCCTTCAGCCAGACTGTGGGGGAATCCCCTTATTGGTGAATACACAAACTTGAGCATTCCACTTAGTTATAATCTCACATATTTTAGAGGGGTGCCGGGAAAAGGAGATAGCAAATCTTGCCTCAGCAACTCCTCCCTGCTCTATGGAAATTCCCACCCATGGTTAGAGCCCTAGATAAGCAGCCTATTATGGATTTCCATCAGATGTCTATCAGACTACTGAATAATCCCATAAATCAGACTGACGCAGTGCCTCAGTTTGCCCATCTGTGAAATGGGGATGTAAAGTTTTAAGGAGAAAATCTGTGAATGCATTAATTGCTGAAGAATGTGGGGGAATTCCCTTATTTGTAAAGGCCCCCAACTCTCAGCAACTGCTCTTTTGTCCCACTCACTCATGGCTCCGCTCAGTCTCCCACCTCCCTTTGTCCTGCTCTTCAGCCAGACTGTGGGGGAATCCCCTTATTGGTGAATACACAAACTTGAGCATTCCACTTAGTTATAATCTCACATATTTTAGAGGGGTGCCGGGAAAAGGAGATAGCAAATCTTGCCTCAGCAACTCCTCCCTGCTCTATGGAAATTCCCACCCATGGTTAGAGCCCTAGATAAGCAGCCTATTATGGATTTCCATCAGATGTCTATCAGACTACTGAATAATCCCATAAATCAGACTGACGCAGTGCCTCAGTTTGCCCATCTGTGAAATGGGGATGTAAAGTTTTAAGGAGAAAATCTGTGAATGCATTAAAGCATATTAACGTATTAAAGAGTAAAGACAGAACAGCTGATTGTCAGTCCTAGAAATTATGCCTATAATCCTGCTGCTTCTATTCTTAAGAGAAACTTCTTTACCATCTTTTATTGTGGCCCAGCTTCTGCCACCTAGTGTCACTGAGCACTTCATCATGGGACTTGTCCCATATTTTTTAGTCATATTCATGTAAGATAATATCAGAGGGAGAAAATTCACCCTTTTGTACCAAGCCCAAACACCTTATCAGATCTGCTTGTGTACAAGCAGAACCAAAATAATACAGACTTCAAAAGGAGACGCTAAAAGGAGACCGATATTGGGTTTCAGCAACTCTGTCACTAGTTGAGTTGGCTAGCTTATCAACTACTTAAAAATAAGCTGACAAAGATGATTTCTGCATTGCTTTCTTCTAAATGCTATTTTACTACTCTGATTTTGTGTATTCTAGGATGAATGTTTCTTGATGGATAATCATGATAAAACAGGTGACAGTAACATAACATTAAACTTAATGCATTCCTGTATATTAAAACCAAGGCTTTTCTATTGTGATGACAAATATTTCCCATTTTAAAATGTAGTACACCTACTTTTGGAGGGGTTTTTTTTTTTGTTATTTGTCTATTTGTGAATACCAACGGAGCTGAAAGCCCAGTTAATAAAACTGTATACACAGGAAACTCATAGCAGCATTCTGATTTTATATATATATATATATATGTATTTCCCTTAGCTATAACTTTTCTACCCAACTAACATGAATTATCCCACTCCTGGTAAGAGGAAAAAAAAAAAAAAAAAAGTGAACAACTAAATTTAAGCGGCTAAAGGATATTCAAATCCATGCTCAACTCCTCTTGATTCCTTAAGCTGATCTTAAGGAATAAATGTTGGAGAGGGCCTCAAAACTTGGTTCTCTTAGGCAAAAGAAATACTGAAATCATTCTTTAAATTTGCACTTTTAAAGATGGAAAAGTGCTAAATCTACCTATTTCCCTGTCAAAGAAATATCAATGACCAAAAAATCACCAAGAAGCTTAACCTTGCAAATTCTCCTGAAATCTTACGTTACTTCTCATTTCTCCTGACACTACACACACATCTACCCTTTGAAACCTGTGCTAGGTATTGCAGATTAGCTAGTAATATTGCCTGTTGCTAAAGTGTCCTGATATTCTCTGTGCCCATTCTCCCCAGACACTTCTTGGTGCAATAGAATCAAATGATATAGGATTATGCATACGTGGGCATTCACCTCAGGCCAAGCTATAAATCCTCCTCTCTCCAAACAATACAATTTCAAGCCAAAATTGGGGGGAAAGTTACTAAAAAATCCTTGTCACCCCCACTTTGAATGTTCCGTAATCCCAGGAGAGATTGCTGTGAGCAGGTCACAGCAATCAGCACAGCACATGAGAAGATTGCCTCATCTAACAAAGGTTTTTGCACCTGTATATAGGATGTATAGACACTATGTGCATACTGTCTACAAATGGCATATGTATCATATATACATTAGAGAGAACTTGTACACCTAGCCTGGCCTCTCCTGGTCTTTTCTGGCCAAGCTTTTTTGTATGTTTATCTGTATTTTTGGTATCTTCACAGAAGATGTGTGTGTTCATAGAAGACACTTCTTTGTCTGGAACATATAGATAAGCGTATAGATAAAATATTCCAAAAACTTATATATTCCATGCACAAATAATAATTAAAATTTCTTGATTGACATAGCCTATGTCTATGAAATAGTAATTGGAAACAGTATGTGTTTTCCACACAGACACAAAGAAAAGTCTGCCACATCTCACTGATGCTCTTCTGTGCTTATATAGAATATATACCATATATTTCTTGTACAGATCAAAAAAAAAGACATCACTTAGAATTGGATGAAGTTTTTTTTTTAAAAAAAACAAATTAGTCACATGTGTATAACATGTACAAATATGCTACACACATCCAGAGTATCCACTACACCCCAGGTGGCTACAGCTTTACTCTATGGATGCAGAGTATACATGCAGAGGAGATACTGTGCATACAAAGAAAGGAACACCTACACACATTACCACATTAACCAAGACCTTCCTGACAACCTGTGAAATATGCAGAAAACTGCACATTCCACAAGCAGGTAAAAAAGCCTTGCCTGGGTTCAGTACACCCTCCTCCACTTACAGGCCTTTGCCTGTTGGTCTGTTCTGTGTTGAAATTCCATATCAAAAAAGAGAGGGCAAAACCAAAACCAACAGTTCATCGAGGCTCTCCCATCTCCAAGCAGGGTATAAATACAGAGTAGGGATGCTATGAACAGGAACAGATGTCTGGCCATGCCTCCACAACCCTTTGCTGCCTCCACGTGGAATACCTAAAAGTGCTTTACAGTCTGGAGACTCTAAGACACTTCTGTCACCAAAACATTCCTCACATTTCTCACAAGGCTCCCTATCCCAGCATTCTCAGGCAGCACAGCGGCAATGCCAGCAAATCTATATGAAATGCACAGGTAGCAAGAAAGCAGTCCCTCAAAAGAAGCAAGGAAAGTCAGGGGTAGCTTCTCAACTGCAGAATTCATACCAAGCAGAGGAGAAACTCAGGAAAGGCTGAGGATTTTGTGAAAATCAGGACTAATTCCCAGAAACCACTGGGTGAGGATTCTCTAATACACTGCAGGAAATGACAAGATGACAATGGAGGGAAAATCCAGAAAGCAAAGTGTGGAGGGGAAAACAAAACAAAACCAAACAAAAACCTCAAAGAGTAAATTCCAAAATGGAAAAATGCTTCAGAGAAAACAATGGTGAACGTTTCCTTGAAAGCAAGAAGGATTCTTAGAAAGCAATTTGAAAGAATTTCCTAGAAAGGAAAGCATGAAAAAAATCGAGGAAGCTGTATATGAGAACTCCTACAGAACAATGGGAGAAAACTGCTAGAAACAGATGTGGAAAAAGTTTCAGGACACCTAATTTTTTCATCATGCTTAATTTCTGTGCATTCATTTCTAAAATATCCCCCTACTTGTTTTCAAGAAAAAAAGTGCACATTGCTAATGAGATTATTTCACCCATACTTTCTTGGAAATATTCCCTTGCAATCACAGAGAAAGAAGACCAGAAGCCTAAATTTCTACTGCAGGCTGGCACGTCAAATGCCTCCTCTTTCTCCTTTGATTCCTCTTCCCCAGTGACAGCACCATTATTGGATCTTCCCGCCACCTCCTCCTGCACTGTGCATCATAGGGCCAGCCAGACACTTCATACAAGCTCTCCTCCTTGTCTCCAACCATGGCTCCCGTGGCTCCTCCACCAGGACTCAGTTCAGTAGCTACTTCTTTCTCCGCAAGGCAGGACCTAAGGCTGCCTCCTCCTCCTCCTCAGTCTCTGAGCAGTAGAGAGAAATGGTTTCTTTTCTCCTCTACCATGGTACAAAGGGCCTCTCCTTCTCCACCAGGCCCACACACCAAGCTGCTCCTCCTCCAGTCCGCTTCTTCCTCCTCCTCTGAGCTGGCATGCCTCCTCCTTTGCTTCTTCCTCTTCCATAATAGCATCATGATTGGGCTCTTTTCTACCTACTGTTCCTTCCATATTGTAGATCAAAGATCCAGTTCTTAAATGAATTCCTGCTCCTCTTCAATCATGGGTCAAACATCTCCTCTTCCAACAGGACTGTACAACCAGTAGCTGTTTTTCATGAAGGTGTGAATAAGCGGCCTCCTTCTCAGCCTCTCAGCAGTGGTTTCGCTTTCTCCTCTGCCATGGTGCACCAAAGGGCCCTTTCTCCTCCTCTGGGCTCAAGTGCCAAGTCACACTT